AGGGAAAAGGATAAAAATTTAGGTCGAAAGCGGGAGACGCGATAGAAATGCCGCGGCCCGCTTTCGCTCCGCTGCCGCCGCCTAAATGCCCAAAGTCGCGAACCAAACGCATAACTTTCGCGAGAAGTTACGGTGAATGCCCGCGCCGCACCTAAAAAGTGCTCCCAAACAGAGCCTGAGAATATTCAAACAAAATAAGTGATCTTCTCCAAACTAATTCATACAAAAATTGTTCTCATTACAATAAAAATTAGACCTACATGTACTTCAAATATAAACAGCGCATTAGCTCTTCCAGGGTAACTTCTAAGCCATAAAAGGTAGGTCATCTCTTAAACTATTAATATACAAGGCAACTCATTTGGACACTATTATTAGAGAAAAGAACTCTAGGGTCAGTCAAATTTTTCTACGTTTGCAGGAACAATTGATGGCAGTAGCTGATTCATCCTTTTGATTGAATTCAACAGACCGAAAAAATGGGTAGAATTTATTATCCCACGGACCTCTTGAAGAAATGAATTGTGATAAACCAAATTTATCACACAAATAAATGTGCATTGCCAGCCAGGTCTGCTGAAACCAATCAAGCCAATTCTTTCGAAGTGACAGCATTCTGAAACAAATCAATTCACCAATCAATCTGTCTCAGCACTGAGTTTAGCATAGCCATTTGAACAGAAAATCAATCTAAATGTGTTAAGAGTGATGTAATCCATTCATTATTCCTGTCATAGTGTTCTTAAAACCTCTAGCAGCCTTTATCCTCAATATAAGATCTTCTCCATGACTGCCCAATCCCTTTCTACCAACCAATTTTGTGCCAAAGCTACGGGACATAAGACTCAATCTCTTCTCATCTCCATCTATTCCAGCAAGCTCTAAAACATGCTTTTTTGAAATCAAGCCATAAAGAAAAAGAGGACCTAATCCCAGCTTTCTGTCGCCAATTCCCACCCGTACCAATGACAACGAATCGAGATTCCCAGGAGTTGGATCATGGACAGCTGAAAAATTGCCAAACGATAGGTCAGGAGACTTAAACAAATTATCCAAATCCAAGACCTCCTCCACATCAGTTTTATCCACCATCTGCACCCTAGACCTCTCAGCTGCCCTAGATATGTTAGCTGCCTCTCTGAAACCACTGAGGAGAGCACCATGCATGGTAGCAGGATATCTCCTGTTTGTTGCCTCTCCAGCAAAAAACACCCTTCCATTACCAATGCTTTCTGCCAAAATATCATAATCATCGCCAGAGGACCCAACAGCCACATAAGAGTAAGATCCATACGTGAACTTATCTGCTCCCCAACGTGTGCAAACTACCTGTAATGGATCAGGAACCTGGATTCCCTTGGGAGCAAATATACCACGAAGAATACCGAGGGCTCTTTCAACAGGTTCCGTGGGAGGGGCCTTCTCAAAAGTAATGGCTGATTCTCCTGCAACAAGGGCAACCAGCAAAGGTCCGCCAGAGACAGAAGAATAGCTATAAAAGAGAAAAAATTCTCCTCTTTGACTGGAATCTCCTGTCAAATGCCCGAAGGTATCAACAGAGCCACCCCAAAAATCATAGGGAAACAACATTGCCACCTTGTTCAGTAGCCCAAATCCCAATCTATCAATTGCTTCCTGTTTCTGTGGTGGCAGAGGGGGCACAAACTCAATAACATTCTTTTTAAGAACACCAAGTGATACAGTGCAAAGGGCCATATCACCACGAAAGGTCTGCTCATCAGCATAAACCATGACTCCATCACTTCCATACTGTATTCTGTTCACCGTTTTTCCGTAGAATATTGGAATTCCCTCTGCAAGAGATCGTATAAAATGGCCATTGCCACCAGGAATGAAGCAGTGATCACCGCCCATCTCATAAGGGTCATCCTGGTCCCAGTAGGCCAAAGAAAGGTCGGAGAGATGCGCAGCATTGGCGTACTCAAGGTTGGCAAGATGCCAATCCAGAAGCATCCGCTCCTCCGCAGGCTCAGCGACGCCGTACACCCGACGGAAGGCCTCGAGAGCTTCACCGAGAGAGATATCAACGGACTTTAACTCGTCCATGATAGCCTGCCGGAGCTTACAAACCTTCTCAAGCAGTTGATTGAATGCAACCTCGATTCTCGAATCGACCGCGCGATCAACAGGCCGACCGTCTGGGAGATAAAGCGGGCACTTATCGCGGACCTTGTGAAGTGGGAGGCCTAGCTGGCGCGCGAGGACTCCGAGGGGATTTCCGTTGATTCCAGTGAGAACACTACCTCCAAGGTCAGCAGCGGCGACGACGCCAGCGCCCTGCATCTTTCTGGTAAGAACACGACCCCCGGGGCGGAGACGGCCTTCGAGAACGATGACCTTGAAACCTAGCGAAATTAGGTGGCGGGCGGCACCGAGCCCGGCGAAACCAGCACCAATGATAATGACGGAGGGAAACGAAGGGTTAGAAGGCGAAGGAGGAGGATTGCGGACAATACCGAAATTGATGTAAGCGTACTGGCGGAGGGAACAGCAGTTTCGAGTTGGTAGTGATCTGAGCGGATTGCGGCTGCGGCGGCTTCTTCGGTGAGCCAGACGGAGGGATTCGTTCTCCAGCGAGCTACGATGTGGTTTCGGACGATGATATAGTTCGCCTGGGAGGCGCCTCCAATGATAGGGATGACGTTGGACTCAATCTCCTCCTCGATTAGAGAATCGACTGGAAAGCCGACGGAGATCGCTATTTGAGCCTCGACGTCGAGGTCTCGGGCGAGGCGTGAGGACGAGGTCGGGGGAAAGCGTCGGGAACGGTAGGAGGAGGAAGCAGACGGAAGATCGTCTTCGTCGATCTGCTCTTGGAAAAGCTCGTCCATGGCCTTCTCGTTGCAAACAACGCCGCCGTTTGAACGGGAAGAAAGTTGCCGAACGGCGTGGGAAGGAACCATCCCTGGGAACAGCTTCTTGCGGCGACGGCGCTTCAGCGATGGCGATGACGGAGGTTCACCGGTGGCTTTAGGGAGACTGACAGGCTGTGAAGTGTCGCCGTTGAGGGGAGGAGCAGAGTCATTTTCCATGGAGGTGCGCCGGCGGGGCCGCAGACGGCGCCCGGAAGAAAAGGTTTTTTCGGTGATTTAGGTTTAATCCGTTAATAAATATAATAGGCTGTTCTTTTAGGCAGGATTTGACAATAATGTATGCTAGAGCTCTTAAAAAATTAAATTGGGATTCATTGTCATATAATTTTAGACTTTTGGGGCACTTTATAAGTGTGGGCGGTATTTTAAAAACGCCTCCTCACTGTTTGGTTCCCACTTATTGAGGGATTATTTAAAAAAGCGTTTTTGAATTTCTAAAAGACGCATTACCCCTCGATGAAGACCGCGAGCTGACCCCTGCGATCCGCTTTTTCTAATTCCTGCCTCTCCCATGACCTTGCCTTTTTTCCTTCGCCTCTTCCGTGACCCTAGCGCTTCGCCTCTCTCGCTCCCGTAACCTCCGTTCGAAGCCGGATCTTCGCCTCTCGCTCCCGTCACCATTCTGTATCCCGACTTCTCCGTTTGAAGCCGGATCTTCTCCGTTCGAAGTCGTTGCGTCCTCGCTCCCGGCACCATTTTGTATCCCGGCTTCTCCGTTCGAAGCCGGATCTCTCCTTTCGAAGTCGTTGCTGGACACAGAAGGGAAAGGTCTTGCGGATCCGGACGCTATTCTGTATCTAAGCTTCTCCTCTTGCTATTATGTATCCCGGTCTTGCGGTCTTGCGGATCCGTTCGAAGCCGGACGCTAGTTTAGAATCCCGGTCTCGCTTTGATTGCAAACCGTTGTTCTTCGAAGGTGAATATTCGATCCTGATTGCTTTGAATTTGTATTTGGAATCTGTTTACATTCATAAAAAAAAAAAAAAAACTAATTTTTTGTTTCCATTTGCATAGATAGATGTATGTTTTTAAGGCATATCATATCAGTGAGATTTTTTTTAAGATGTTTGGCTACTTTACCTGTGCATGAGAATGTGTACTCACTTTTTAAGGTGGTTTTTTTTATTTGATATGAAAGATTTGGGTGGTATAAATGTAAACAGTATTGTTTAGGTGTGAGATATGTAAATATATAGGAAATGGATGGTGTTTATGTAAATGCCCTTAAAATTAATATAAATGCAAAATAAGCCATTTTGTTTAATTCAATAATTGAGTTTGTCCTGGTGTCCTTCCTAATCATTCTAAGTAATTTTTATCTACTCCACTTGTTTATGCATCTCTACCCCTAGTTGTAAGCACTACAACCAGCTAAATATATATAATCTTAGTAGATGCTACTCTCGCCATATCTGATATAATAATTTTTCAATTAATTCTTTCAAGTGTTAACAAAAATCTTTCTAACATTCTCATTCATGTTGCTTAGTGAAAGAAAGAAACATCATAAGAACTGATATTTGAATCTGAGTTTTCTCTAATTAAGAAAAAAATGTGATTGAAAATCTAATATCAAAGTAACTTTTAATTACCAAAACATATATAGCTATAATTCCTTTCGGTACCTCCACTTTATTTTCACCCGACATGGCTAAACATTGTGATACATATCTAATACATATCTAACTGTTTATAACATATTGGATCAATATTTGGTTGATCGTTGGAGAGTATTGAAGTTTTGTTGTCCTCTTGATGAAATGAATTTTTGTTTTTCTTTAGTTATTTCAAAGATGCATCTTTTTTTTTATTCTAGGAATGAGTCCTTTAAGTCTTTTTCTTCTCTTCTATAATCTTTTGTTGTCTAAATCTTTATTTTGAAATTTTTAGAGAGTTGATATAGAAATTGTTCTTTTGTTTTGTGATTTTTTGGCCATGAAAAGAAACATTTTGTGCTTATTCATTAATCTGACAGAACTCAATGAGTAAAGCTAAAGAGGCTGAAACATCAGTCATGTGGGATAAAGAAGTAACTATCATATTTTGTGATTTATGTGTGAGGGAGGTTGAGGTGGGAAATAGACCCACTACATTTTTTAACAAAGAAGGGTGGCGAAATATCTTGTTTAAATTCAAAGAAATGACTGGAAGAGATTACGATCGCATGAAAATGAAGAACAAATGAGACCAGTTAAAGAAGAATTGGAAACTATGAAAAGAACTGAAAATGGGATCAACGGGAATGGACTGGGATCCAGTTAAGCGCACAATAGATGCACCAGAGAATGGTGGGGTTAGAAACTACAGATGCATAAATAACTCTTTTTATTTTATGTTTAATCTAACTCCGCATTGAGTTAACACTATTTTATTAATGCACATTTGTTATCTATATCAGGCAGTGCCGTGAGCAACAAAATTTAAATTCGTTGGCATTGATCCAGTAATGGAGGAAAAACTAGATGGAATGTTCACTGGGGTTGTCGCTACAGGAACTCATGCGTTCACCCCAAATGATATAGGGTTTGGCAGCTTAACCCAAGAGATGGATACCGTGCAGATAGGTGATTCAGGAGACCGTCCTAGCCATGTTCACACAGATGTTCAATCCACGAGTGTGCCCAAGCGTCCCAGAGTAGAAAAGAAGAACAAAGGGGTTGCTTTCATTAAAGGCATTATTGATGCACTTGTTGAAACATGTAAAACTCGGTCTTCTTCATCGCAGGACAGCTCAATTAATAAGTGTCTTCAGGTCCTCAATACATATTCTGATGTTAAGGCAGACGATGATGACTACATTCAATACGTGAAGGTGTTACATGATCCAACCATCAGATAATTTTTTATGAAGTTGGAACCGAAATATCGAGTGAAATATGACAAGCGACTTTATATATGCTTAAAAATATAAGAATTTGACACCACTACTAGAAGATTTAAACCCCCGGCAATGACGCAAAAAACTTGACAGCGACTTTATATATGCTTAAATTTATGACCTAAATTTATATATTTATAATGATTTTGTAAAGTCACAATTTGAAACGCAAGTATACGTATCGCTCAAGTAATACAGTGCTCTAGTGGAGTCCCGTTTATCGATCCCGCAGGGAAGCGAGGTAAGAGGTCCTTAGTCAAATTCTAGTCTACTACAATTAGTCCTTAGTTTGGAATGTCGATTAAAATGATGTTTTATCTAGCAACTACTCCTAAATGCAAGTGTTAAATGTAAAGATAGTAACTATAACTAAATGCAA